CATATTTTAAGATATGTCAGAGCAAGATAATTTCAGTTGAGACAGACAGCTCAAACATGCATTTTAGTCTGGGACTAGCTAAAACCTTGTCTGTGAAACCGGGGGAGTGTAGCCTATAAATGACCATTTTCCCTATTACGACATCGCAGCCTTTTCAAATTCCAGCTGTTACTTAACAAATGCATTTTTAGTATTTAGGCAACAGGACAGGACATTAGACAACGTTTAGGCATCTCTCTATTGAACAGACACCTGAACATTGTTGCTATTACATACTGTTCTACTTGTTATTATCAAACTCAGTTTGTCTCAGATTACAAAACACTTTGTGACACGACCTGCCTTACACAACGCGTGCCGAGTGCGCATGCGCCCTGCGAACGCGTTTTGTAATACAGGCGCTCGCCAGTTACATGATCGCTGAGGGCGGGGCTAATACATAAGTTACGGCTGTCAATCCAAATGTTGATCAGTGGAGCTCTGTCTACCTCGTACCTTTTTGATAAACAATATAAGAAGTGGCGACGGTGTTCTGACCTAGTAACCTTGGTCATGGCATTGTTGTCATATTAGTCAATATATTATTTAGACACAGTGAAGGATGCGAACTTACCAGATTCTAATAATTGATTGGTTAGTGCAATAGCATTGCCGTAGTGTTTCCTCTTCAATAGGCTTTCAGCTTCCCCTAAACATTTAGTTCTATTCACGTCTTCAGGGAACCACTTCTCTAAAAGTCCACATAGGATCACATTCAGTCGGGGTTCCCCGGGCCTCTTCCTAATGTCATCGCTGCACAGTTTACATTTAGAAAAAGTGCTATGCTGTAAACATCTCCTGCAATACGTATGTCCACAGGTCACCGTCACGGGCTCGGCTATGAAACTATGACAGCCAGGGCAGTCGAATACACAATCCTGAGTCCAGTTCGGCTCACTTTTTGCTGAGGACTCTTCTGATTTCTTCTTGAAGTTGCGCAGAACGCATCCGACTAAACTGCTCAGCTGGTCCGGCTGGACCGGACCATATCGGAGAGCCTTGGAAAACATATCGACAGCCTCTTTAAGACGATTTTCCGACGCTAAAGCGTCAGCTTTGGATAAAACAAGTTGACGGTGATCGACGTGGTCTTCCTCGTCCCAGTCGCCTTCTGTTTCAGGTGCTATAAAAAATCTTCCCCTTTCCTCCCAAGCATATTCTTGCTCTAGTCTTTGCAAGGACATGCCTGTGTGTGACACTCACAGATACGCCACAAAAATAATAAATACAAACATGTCAAAGCATTCTTACAGTTATCGGTTCAGGAGAACCTAGTGACTCGCGCTCCTGAACATGCAGTTGTTTTCTCTGCGTGTTACGTAAAAAATAGCATCACGTGCGCATCAGCGAGCGAATCTATTGGCCGACGAGGCACGTTACAAAACACAAAACTCTTTTGAGTTTTGTAACGTGCGCTTGGGACTATTGCGAGCAAAGGCTTTAAAGGGTTTGAATCCAAAGATGTCAGTGTGTCATCAGTCATCATCGTGTTAATACTTTTATGCTGCGCATAAAGGAAAATGACAGGATATTCCCTAATGATAATAACATCAGGAATTGTGATAAGGCTTCCATGTTTCACTGATGTGCATTTGCTAAGAGAAAGGAGATGAGTAATTTCCTGTGTCAACGGTGTTTTTGTGGGGTCTGTGGGGCTAACATATAGGTTGAAAGTCTGGATCTATGTTACGCAACGGAGTTAAGACTGTAGGAATGTCGGTAGTCGTGTAATATATAGGTCAACGCACATACGTAATTACATATTGCACAATAGATACGTCTGATGACATTTCCCCTTACAAAGCATCTCTAGCCCATAGATCATAGGCGTCATTTATCGTGGGGAAACGGTGAAACGTATATTGGAACGTTTTAAATTGAATATTGACTCAAAAACTGTGAATTTTGTAGTAATGCAAAATAAACTATTTTTCATTTATTTTTTCATTGCATCTGTACAAAGCTATTTTGGGTTGATGTTGAGAATTTCATTACAAGAAAACCTAATACAGCTGGGTGGATCTGATATAGTGATATATGTTATTGATTATGGGATAGAAAAGGATAAAGTGTATATTATTCAATTACTGATTGTGATGGGGAAGTTTCATATACACAAAATGAAGTGACCGGGTGATAAACCAAATTTTTTAAATTTTATCAACGAATTTAAACAATACTGTAATATGGTATATAAATGTAAAACCAAAAAAGCTCTCAGGACTTCTAACATTATCTGCAAATTTGAAATAGACAAGCAAACTGTACCGTCTTCATTATTTTAGTTGTTTTATTTATTTATTTCATGTTTTCTTTTTTCCTCTGGCTAATTTTTTATTTTACTTGTAATCTTGTGTACTGATGGCATTTATATGCAAAGTTGTATTTCAATTACTGTTATATATGTTTATATGCATTAAAAAAATTATCGTGGGGAAATGATTTTGTCCTCACTCACCACTTTAAAAAATAAAGAAGCGTGTTAAAATGCTCGCTATTAAAAAAAAGTAAATTGCGGGGTTTTTTTGTTGTTATTCTGGCTTTTTTGCTATTTAAATTACTTTTAGCCATCTGATGAAGTTCATTTTTAATAGATGTATAAAGTCTGTTCAATGTAAAAATTGGGGCATCTCTGCAATAAACAGATAGGAATAGGAACAGAGTAGAAATGGCAAAACACAAAACAGAGAGAGAGAGAGAGAGAGAGAGAGACTCTGAAATGTGCAATATTAATGAGCAATTGTGTAAGGACTGCACAAATGTTGTGCAAATTGAAAAGGGACATACATATGCACGCATACATACGAATACATGCATATGGGCTAATGAACGATGAATTACTAGACATAAGTGGAAAGATTTGTAAATGACTGAATTAAGTTCACAAAGGTTTCCTAGCAGAGTATAACCAAAGGTGATTTTAACAGTATATCTATTGTTTTACCATTTAAAACCCAACTAATTTATTTTTGTGAAACAGTTTACTTAAAAGGTGAGCTTTTGCCATCTGTAGCTATTCAAAATAGCTATCCATTTGGTTTGATATTCTGTTATAAAATACAACGACCTTCATACATTTTAAAGTGTGGCTTAGTATCCCAACACTCTCTGGGGTCGACTTTTTAATTTTTGGGGTGATTACATGTACTGTAATGCGGAAATGACGGCATTGCCTTGCGACAAGCGCGCATCTTTTAGACAGAGGACAGGACACCGGGCAAGGCATGGAACACCTTGGTGTGTTACTACTGCTGTTGATGTGTGTGTCACGATTCAATTTAACAGAAGGTAAGGGATGGTTTGTAAATCTGTGTGGACAAAGGATAATAAATGCATGCGTCTAATGTGTCTGAACCATAGACTGTATA